ACACAGCAAAGGCTGGCCGAAACCTGATGAAACCTAAAGTTACTGACCCTGCGAAACCAAACATAAGTCTGAGGTCGGTCGGTCTAATTATCTTATCCTTTTCAATGTACCTGAGAGCAAGGATAGCTTGCTTGAACAACGGGCTCTGTTTGATCAGGAACAGTGGTCCAACTTGTGCAATAAATTAGGTCTGAGCATTAGTTCAGTGAAATTGTGAAGGCTGTACAGGGGTGTCCACATGCCTCAGGGTAAGCCACTCCCGTTGAGGGTTACACCGAACTCTGCCGAAGGGGCTGAAAGAATAATATTAGTGGCCAAGGTACTAGTCATCGACAGAAGTTCTAGCACGAGGGTAAGACATAACAGATCATGGGCTAACAGACAAGTGGCGAGAGAGTCACCGGAACTGACGCCTTCTACCTCTGTGGTGGAACACGGTGTTCCGGAGCTGGAAACGGGCACCGCTTGTGTAAAACACATGAATGACGTACAACAATGGAGATGGCTGTCATCTCATATGACCCTTGACGCTTCTGGAGCAATCTCCACTTTCCGACTACCTCGCCCTTCTCATCTCACACTGATTAGCCCTCCAAAGCTTCTAAGTGTCACATTCAACTCCCCGGAGCAGTTGGCCATAACACTTCGACGGTGGTATGAGACCAAGGGAAAAATGGGAGGACAGATCCCGTGCTGCGAAAGCAGACCCCGAACTATAAAGAGGCAGCAAACTGAGGCTTTAATACGACCCCAAGCTTCGGTGACACTAGAGCGATGCAGCTCTGAGAATAATAGTCTGTGTCTCCCAAGTGTCCTGCCTAAATCCATTGAAAAAAACTACAACGGGCAGGTTCTATCGGAATCGGCCAACTAGTTCCAACATCAAGTCCCCCACCAGCAGACGGTTTCACGTCAACTACCCACAACACGCTGAGGTTGTTAGACTCACTGTCAGCTGCCTACATAGCAATGTTAGGGGGCTGAGAGGAAAAGTAAGCGAACTCCGAAATCTCCAAGCACACCTACAACTTAAAAGAATCATTCTCACTGAAACGTCGCTAACTCCCACTATCGCCGACGACGAAATCGGTATAGGTGATGTGGTTCTGGTCAGGAGAGACAACGATAATAGGGAAGGAGGGGGAGTTGATATATACTTTGATAGGCAATTTAAGTGTGTGCGCGTAACGGACCCACCACTTATTAAACTCCCAGATTTTCCATGGAATCATTTCACCGTAGGCCACGCCAAGCACTTACTGGGCGGCATCTACCGATCTCCCACCTGTGGGGCAGAGCACAATCAGCTACTGCTCAGCACTATCACAGGAATACAGGACTTTGGCAATGACAAAATCACCATAGCTGGAGATTTCAATGACTCATCCCTGAACCTTAGCTCGAGGCGTGCTAAGGGAAAATCCGGCTGAAATCTACAGCGAACCATTCGAAATACGGGACTGACTGAGAACGTTGGAGACGACATTAGGTGGCGCCCTAGTGGAAAGTCATCAAAACTAGGCTACGTTCTAACTAGTGACCAACTACTCGTCGAAAGGGTCCAGATCATGGCTCCTCTAGGAAGTAGTGACGATGCAGTTACATGTTTCGATCTGGTTCTCTGTGAGCGTTTGTTGTGGGACGTTACGCAAACATGTTTGTGTTATAGCAAGGCCGACTATGCTGAAGTGCGGAGGCTCTTGTCCGACGCAGACTGGCCCGTAGCATGGGGTGAGTTATCCGTGGATAAACGCTGGGAAGGGGTAAGAAAGATTATTCATACAGTAATCTGGGATACCGTCCCTTTAGTCATAACACAGCCCCGGTGCAGCGCGAGAGTCAGGAATGAGAGGAGGTAATTCCAGGCTAACCTTGCCAAAAACTCCTAGCAAACCCCAAAAACTTGTACCGATTCATGCCGGAAAGAAAACCAACAAACCAGGGGGCATGCACCTTAGTAGTTCGAAACAGTCAATACGTCGCCAGTCTGGAGATGGCTGAAACACTCAGCTTAGCCCTCGCGAAACAGCTAAACAGCGATGTGGATATTACAGTTACGAACCAAAATGGTGGCACTACTATTTCACAGGAGGAAGACCTAGTGGCTACTCCCCAAATAAACCCCGCAATTGTACTAAAGAAGCTACAGCGGCTCACACCTGAGAAGTATTCAGGTTGTGACGACATCAGGCCATCTGTTCTGAAACAGTGCGCTGAGGCTCTCTGTAGACCCCTGTGCGACTTGTTCCAACACTCAATGGATTCGGAGACACTGCCAAGGGAGTGGAAAAGAGCCATCCTTTCTCCAATCTTCAAAGGTGGGGACAGGCAAAACGCTACTAGTTATAGACCAGTAGCTCTATTCCCAGTGGTGTCAAAAGTACTGGAAAGTATTACTGACGACCACATCAGGGAATATTTCGATAGGTCTAATATACTCCATGAAGCCCAACATGGTTTCAGGACAGGCACATCCTGCGCAACAGACCTACTATCAGCTTGGGACGATTGGACATCATACTGGGATATGAATGTTCCAGTCCATGTGGTCTTTCTAGACTTTGGGAAGGCATTTGACACCATGACCTCCTACACAAAATGAGCCAGGCAGGTATAGGTAAGCCACGTCTGTCATGGTTAAAGGACTACCTGGCCGAAAGGCGATTTCGCATTAAGTCCAATCGAGTTCGATCATCTTGGCACAGCTCGTCATCAGAAGTGTCACAGGGGTCTATCCTAGGACCACTGATGTTTTGATTTTTGTCAATGATCTACCATGCCATCTAAGCTGTCCGACTCTTCTATACGCTGTGGACGTAAATATATGGAGGGTGATAAAGTGTCCGGAGGACTCAGATGGACTGTTAGGAGATCTAAAGCTTCTGGAAGACTGGTCGGTGCCCAGCGTCATGAATTTCAACCTGAAAAGTGTAAAGTAGTGAAGTTGCGCACCTGTAGACTGCAGAATGTAGACCACGCCTTGAAGTGCATAATATTATTGCATCCAAACTGCTTAGAAGAGACACCGATCTCTTGGAAAGAGTACGAAGAGTAAATAAGAAGACAGTTGCAGCGAAGAAAATTTTCTTTTCGACGAAGTCATCATCTAGGCTGTACATTCGTGTATTTATATCAAATGGATGGGAAAGTTCCAGAATAATATCCGGTCAAGGGTCAAATTAATAAAAATAAAAATTGGGAATTGGAATGCCACAATAAACAGGGGGATGGATAAAACAAACAAAGTAGCATTATAATAACTAAGAAGACTGACATTGTGCAAATAGGGGTTAGAAATGTAGAAATAACAAAATAGACAGGATGTTTGGATAAAAACTAATGTGATGAATAATTGTTTATGCAATCAGGGATTAAATATGTAGAAATAGTAAAATGACAAAATAAACACTAAGTTCGGGTATGAAAATATGGTAGTGTAAACAGGGATTAAGAAAAACTTCCTGTTTATTCATGTTATTTCAAGTTTTTCTTAATCCCTGTTTACACTACCATATTTTCATACCCGAACTTAGTGTTTATTTTGTCATTTTACTATTTCTACATATTTAATCCCTGATTGCATAAACAATTATTCATCACATTAGTTTTTATCCAAACATCCTGTCTATTTTGTTATTTCTACATTTCTAACCCCTATTTGCACAATGTCAGTCTTCTTAGTTATTATAATGCTACTTTGTTTGTTTTATCCATCCCCCTGTTTATTGTGGCATTCCAATTCCCAATTTTTATTTTTATTAATTTGACCCTTGACCGGATATTATTCTGGAACTTTCCCATCCATTTGATATAAATACACGGATGTACAGCCTAGATGATGACTTCGTCGAAAAGAAAATTTTCTTCGCTGCAACTGTCTTCTTATTTACTCTTATGACCCAATGTGTATATTCCGTGATTTAAAGAGTACGAAGACAGGCAACAAAAGGGGTGGTTGGTCTTCGAAATAAACTATGTGATGTTTAGAGGTTGACGGTATTGACGTTCGCGAATTGTACAGAGTATACTAACGCAAGATCTTATACCAACAACTCCTATAGTATAGTATTTGTTTCTCGTGTACCAAAGGCAAAGCAAAAGGCCGGAGTTGATCTTCCAAACTACGAGATATGTTTCGGACCAAATCGTGGACTGAAGCGGAAGCTGAGCTGGCTAGTGATCGTGTACGAAAGTGACACAACAGAGTAGCGAATGGCAAGGATGGTTGACCGGAAGCCTTCAGCTGAACAAGGCGACTCAAACGCTAAGGGTCAGCATCCAATGTTCACTGATGATTCCTATGGTCAATAATTTTGGTGAATTATTCACCACTACAGATGAAAGGCTAAAGAAATTAAGCCTACTGAGCAGGCATAGGCTTCCTCGTGGAAATCTCAGAAAGATAGCTCACCAGAGGGCAAGGACTTGGGTGCGCTCCCACTTCTTTTCACTATGGGCTTGCCGTCCCTGGAATTCCTTACCGACAGATGTAGTTATGGCACCGCCTGTGGATGCCTTAAAGCGAAGGCTGGAAAATCATGCAGCGACACAAAGACTGCGTCCGAATGGCCCATACCCTTAAAATCCCATACACCATTCAGGGGTAGACAACTAAGTTCGGCGTTTTCCTTCTTCGCATTCTCTCCCGTCTGACTCTCCTGACAACTTTAACTACACTTATTATTATTGTCTGTTTTATTTTGACAACGATACCGGAGGACTAACTGGTTAAAGGATCAACTCCATTCACAGTAGTAACAGTTTTGACACACTCATACTACAAACCACATATAATTATTTCCAGTACTAATCCTTTTGGAGTCAACCGAAGTTACGAAAGTCGAGTGGCGGGACGAGCTACGCAGAAGTTCACCGAAGATCAGGAACTTATACTTCACAATCAAGAGGCGAGCACAAAGAAATCAAATTGGTTTATACTAGCTGGTAAAAACGGTATTGGATATTGGACATTAGAGAGCGTGCATTGATTTTGCGTCACTATGGATTTAAATCCGAAATATGAAAAAGGTAAGATTCTTACTGTTTTCTTATATAGAATCACGTACATCAAGGTGAAAAATTACTTTGTTTCCATGGTCCTCTTATGTATGAGGCGAAATGCTTAGACGTCAAAGTGAAAGAAGATGGTGTAATATATTTTGTGCATTACCAAGGTTGGAATAAGAGGTAATAATATATCAGTAATAATTTACGGTGTAATATAGCTGGGATGAATGGGTGACTGAAAAACGAATGTTCAAGTATAATGAAGAGGGCTTGAGAAAAAAACAAGAATTAGAGCGACAAATGTAACTTGTGTAAAGCAATGTTTCTGATCACGATGCTTCTTGTAATTTTCAGGAAATCCGGGAAGGTTAAAGTTTTAAGAAAGTCTGAATTAAAGTCACAGTCATTGCCACCTCCAGAAGTCCTGGAGGACGTTGAACGGACACTGAAACCTGGTCAAGTGAAAGAAGGTGAGATATTACCCAGTCTTACTAAGTTCCGCTGTAGAGGAAGGTCCTCCTAAGGCCAAGAATATAAAGACCAGCCGGAAAATTGATGCTCGTGTCCCTGTTGATATGAAAGAGACTGAAGATACTAAACCACCCATTAAGTGTTGTGAAGATTCGAACGCATCGTCTACTCCACCTGTCACAGTAACAAGTAGGAGAAGAAAAAGCCGGGTGTCATCAGTGCTAAAGTCTCTTGAAAATGCAAGTATATCGTATTTTCGTGTCACAATTTTTCATTCTGTCCGATTTAATTTTGTTTTACCGAGATAGCTTGTGCTTTGGTATTGTGATTCATTTTGTGAGATACAAAAGTTCCTTTTTTTGGAGATAATAGAGTAGCAGCGTTGTATCAAACGACAATTTTAAGTCGACATTTGTGTTATGTAGCTCATTCAAAACGTATTTTAACACTGACCACTAGTCGTGGAGATCGTCGTCATTAATTTTCTGTATGTTCAGTCCTGCAAAGAAATTCACTTTTTTAACTGCCCTCTGGCTTCTTTCCTCTTAGAAAGTTGTTCATGAAACTGAGTGTTTCTTTGAGCTAGAGTTATGTTTCAAATCAAGATAATAAAGATAGAAAGCTCTTATAGTCAGTGTTAATCCTTGCAATACATGTCTCTGCAGAGATCTAATCTCTCTTTGAAAGCGTTCACCGATGGAGGTGTTACTACTGAATCAGGTAAGGAGTTCCAATTATTGACGATTCTATGAGAGAATCTAAATTAAATTGTAAGTGTATTTTATTCGACCTAGGTCTGAGCACCTTTTTGTCGTGAAAGATGAATTTCTAAATCATCGTTTAATGTACGGTATGCCGAAATTAAGTCACCTCTCCTCCTCCTTCGGTATGATAATGGTAAGAGACTTGAATGCTCCATCCTTTTGTCATAAGGAAGGTGTGAGGTACCACTAATTAATTTGGTTCCTACCCTCTGTACTCTTTCTAAGATATGTGCCTCCTTTTTGAAGCATGAACTCACCACTTGTATGCAGTATTCTAGTTGAGGCGTGACATATTTTGCATAGAGTACTTAAAACAAAGACTCGTTTAATCGTTTTAAAGTCCTTCAAAGTACTCATAACATTCTAGTCTTAGCTGCGGCTCGATTACAATTTGCGGTTGTTTTTGCGTCATGGCTTACAGTAGTTCCTAAGCCCTTTTGTCCTTTAACATCTGGGAGTTCTTTGTCCCCCAGGGGTACGATGTGTAAGACCTCTGACCTAGGTGCATTACCGCACTTTTCTTGGAATTGATTTCCAGCTAATTTATCCAGATCGTTGTGTAATGCCAACCTGTCATCGTTATTATTTACAGCTTTCCACATCTTAATATCGTCCGCAAATAATAAAGATTTAGGAATTTTCGGTAGTTCATTTACGAATAATATGAATAACAGGAGGCCAAGTACCGTCCCCTGAGATACTCCACTTAGTACTGCTTTTTACCCTGACAGTACACCACTAACTCTTACCTTCTGCCTTCTATCCCACAGGTAGTCCTCAAACCACTGACATAGGCGTGTTGGTTTAATCCAAAACCTTTTAGTTTACTGAGGAGGTGTAAATGGGATACAGATTCAGATTTCAGATTTTTTGGTTGAGGATAGAAGGCTTGCAGCCTATGTTAATCCTTTTCTAGTAGATTTCTGTGGTTGTCCAAACCCTTCTTGAACGAATCAGTTGAGGTTGCAGACACCACTTCTTCTGGGAGTCGGTTCCAAGAGTTTATGACTCGATGTGAGAACCAGTACTCAACAGCAATATGATTTCTCCTTGGCTTTTGAACTTTCCTGCTATGTCCTCTAAGGTGTTCCGACCTGGTGGGAAGGAAAAGAGAGAATAGGTCAGGTCCGTAGTCATTATTTAAAATTTTAAACATTGTGATTAAATCTCCTCTCTGCCTACGGTATGACAGTGAGAAGAGATTTAAACTATCTAGTCTTTCCTCGTATGATAAGTTAGCTATGCCGTGAACCATACGTGTTGCCTTCCTTTGAACACTTTCTAGAATGTGTGAATCCCCTTTTAGACAAGGACTGGCGGCCTGGATGCAGTTTTCCAGTCTTGACCTAACCAGAGATGTGTATAAGGAGGTGAACATATCTCTGGTAATTCTTGTAAAGGCTCTGCGAATCGCCCATAAGGACCTGAAACTACGTGCAGCCACCGCGCGACAGTGTGCTGTAGTTTTTAAGTCGTGGCTAACTATGACACCTAAGTCCAAGTGAGTCTGAACTGATGGAAGTGTTATTCCCTCTAGTTCGTAGGAGCTCGTGCTTGCTTGTCCAATGCGCATGGTTGCACATTTTGCCACATTGATCGGGAGCATCCATTCAACAGACCACTCCGACAATTTGTTGAGGTCCTCTTGCAACGTGAACGTATCACTGTTGCCCTTCAGCTCTCTCCAAATTTTTAAGTCATCTGCGTATAGGACCATAGGGGAGTCGGTGAGCAGAGGTAACTCATTGATATACAGAATAAAAAGGAGAGGACCGAGAACCGTGCCTTGTGGCACTCCGCTACTTACTGCTGTCCAGGAGGAGAGTTTTGAGTTGATCCTAACCCTCTGCCTCCTATCTATGAGGAATTCCCTGAGCCAGTCTAGTAGTCTGCCTTTGATACCAAGACTTTCCAATTTCATGAGTAGTCTTTTGTGAGGTACTTTATCAAAGGCTTTACTGAAGTCTATGAAGACGACGTCAACGGGTCTTCTGTTGTCCTTTGATTTGACCCAGCTTTCTCTTGCAGTCAGGAGATTTGACAGGCATGAGAGGTTCCTCCGGAAGCCATGCTGTGCTCCAGATAACAAGCTGCTATTTTCCAGATAAGCCATGATGCTTTTCTTGATAATTCTTTCCAGTGTCTTGATTAAAGTGCTGGTGAGACTGATAGGCCTGTAATTTGAAGGGCTTTGTCTTGATCCTCCTTTGTGTATGGGGGTTACTATGGCGTCTTTCCAATCACGTGGCAACACTCCATTTAGGAGAGATAGCTTGAAGATCGTGGTCAAGGGGCCGGCTATGTGGGCTGATAGCTCCTTGAGAAGCCTTGGATGAAGACTGTCAGGACCCATTGATTTTCCTGCATCTAGTTTCATTAAGAAGTTGAGCACGATGCCTTGGTCGATGTCAACGGAATCTATCCCATGTTCTTCTGATGCAGCCAGAGCTGATCCTATAGGCAGTGATGACTCCTGAGTGAAGACTTGGGAGAAGTAGTTTGCCATTGCTTCTGCTTTTTCTTGATCTTCTTCGATTGTATCTTTGTCAATAATCAGGTTTGGGACACCATTGGGTGTTTTATTCCTGAAATTCAAGTACGAGAAAATTTTCTTAGGTTGTGCCTTTGCATTTTGGGCCAGGTGTGTCTCGAACTTCATCCTTGATTGGCGGATTTCTGCGATAGCTTTATTTCTAGCAGTAGTATATAATTCCCTGGTCTCAGAAGTCTCAAGTGTTGCAAACAGGTTCCAACATTTGCGTTTACGTCTGAGTAACTTACGAATCTCCCGGTTTATCCAAGGGGGGGAATGTTTCCGACCCTTTGGAACAGACCAAGGGATGAAAGGTACAGTTACTTGGGCGTAAAGTTGCTTAAATTGGTTCCATGCGGCTTCTACTTGGGACTCTGGATTGATGTACCAGTTTACTGAGTTGGCTGCTGAGACGATCGCATTTATGTCAGCTTTCCAAACGTTTGGTCGAGCTGGGGTTTTGGCCCTTGCTGCCGTTGCTGTGAACTTGAAAGTGAGCACAGCATGGTCACTTCTTCCTAACGGAGGAAGATGTTGTATGAGATCCACATCCTCACCGTGTGAGAACACTAGGTCCAGAGTTGACGAGGAGTGCTGTGAGTCATAGCGCGTGGGCTTAATGATATGTTGGACTAGGGCTAGCGATATACTAGATTCTAGCAGTTTATGATCAAAGGAGTTGACTGAAGATGGAGTTGTTAGGCTCGACCAGTCAACTGTTGGGGCGTTGAAGTCGCCGACTACGAGACTTCGACATTTTGAAGTCCAGGAGCCTTGCTTCTCTATCAGTGATAAAAGCTAATGCCTGTCTGTTTTCGACATAGAACTTTGCACAAATGTGCGGAAGTTCAAGTCGCCACATTCCGTGTAGCACGCGAAGCAAGAGAAGAAAGTACAAGAAAAGCATAATAGAAACAGTGAGCAGAGGTGTGAGACAAAGGAAGCTAATGAGTGCACAAAGATAGATATGTGTGGCTATTATGTTATAAGAACACAACTTCCTATAATTAATAGACTCAAATCTGAAACGTAAACTAACTTCGATCAGAATAAACTGATTTAAAGTTAAATCTGTGGACTTTTGGAGCGTATAACACAACAAAAGCCAATTATAAACAAGAGCGTGAAAATTAACTCCCTTTTCAAAGTTCGCGCGATATCAAATGCTTTACTACGAGCGATTGAGACACCTAAAAGATGGTTCTTATCCATGACTTAGACGCGATCTTCCCTAGCTAACAGTGGATTTGTGAGACAGGATTGTACTGGTCGGAATCCATGCTGTTCTGCCTCCAGTAAGCCATGTTTCTGCATATGAGTTAAGAGCTGATCCCTTATGATTGTTTCTGATACCTTTGCTATAATCCAGGTCAGACTTACAGGCTGGTAGTTAGATACTAACTATTGCGTGTTCACCTGTTTCAGGATGTAAATAGGCTCCTGTTTACTTGTACGTTAAATGTCCCTCTGCTTAATTGAATAGGTTGTATTTATATGTAGTTAGGTATGTAAGTGTTCATAGTCTCAACCTTACTGTTATATTTCACTTTTTCATATCAGGAAGATGGCCTCTCTCAGCCGCGTTTGTCGATGTTACTGCCTCCATGTTTGAAATCTTGGCTTACAGATGACTGGGATTTGATTACTCGGCAGGCTCGGGTAAGTAGTAATATTCAGTTGGGTTATCATCCAGTTATCAGCAAAGCAATTTCCAATTTTTGAGCATTGGTCGTAATTTGTTAATTTAGTGACCAATTTAGTCACTTGGATGTTACAGTATATACCTTAGCCCCGGGTTCCGGGTGATCAGGAATGTTCTCACCCTGAGTGTTTGCTCACTGTTGCACTTTGGTGGGTTGAAACTACGAATCCAGTTGCAGTGGGTGCGTGCTGCCTATGGTTCCCAAACTAGTCTGATGAAACAGCTGTCCAGTACTCCTTGTGGCTAGTTTTCAGTGCTTCCCTAACTCCTCATTGATATCAATCCGTGATCAACTCGTAAAAAGTCTCAATGACCTGAATCATCATTCCAGATTTCACACTTTATGAACACCTGACATGATATACTGGCAATTTTATTGTAAACACTAACTGATGTATGTTATTCTAGATAATCTAACTACCTTAATGACGTCATAAAGGCCTGAATTTCAAGCGGGAAATCTGCCCAAGTTTCAAAATCCTGTGATGATGTCCATAACGAACAATAAGTTATCATTTGGATAAGGCATTTAGAAGACAGATTTCTCCGCGAGATAATATCGTCATTCCGCTTTACACAACTAACATGTGGTTAACAATAACATTAAATAAAGTTCATGACAATGATCTATAGTTTAGCTTGTAAGGGTTAGACATATTTTTACGAGTTGATCACGGATTGATATCAGTTAGAGAAGCATTGGAAACCGGGGAGTACTGGACAGCTGCTGTTTCATCTTAGTTTGGGAGTCATCGGCAGTACGCACCCAGTGGGATTCGAACACAGGACCCAGGGTGCGTACTGCCGATAATTCTATGTATTTTAGTAACCATTTTGAAACCCGTTCTTTTCGACGACATTGGCATATTCTATTGGTTTTACCCATATAGGTGTCACCGCAGCTGCAGGTCAACTTGTAGATACAGTTTGAAGTAGAGTCCACAGAATTTCGTCCTTTAATCGTAGGTACAAGGATCGAAAATGTTCAGCATGTGAGAAAAAGAGATTCGGTGTAGAATGTGCGTTTGATGGTTGACCGAAGTCTTTGAGCTAGCTGTAACACAACTGCATAATCTGGTTAATAAAGATAACTTTCTTTGGTACAGAAGGTGTCTTTTCTGATATCATCTCGCGAAATTTGTCTTCTAAATGCCTTATTCAAAGATATATACAGATTCTCTACCTCCAGTAACTCATTCATTACCAAAGGTGAGCGGGGGTGTGGGTGTCCATCAATCTTCCTCACACAATACAGAGTGTGAGATGCATACTAAGTGTTCACAGTTATCACCTAAGGATTAGTGATTTTCTGAATCTATTTTGTTATCAAACAACAAGTCAGTGTTGTGGGTTTTTCTTCAAGTAATGCACACTTGTGTAAAACCTACACACACACTTCAAAGTTATGCAAAAAATTTCATTAATATATTGAAGTGGCATAACTGAAAAGCTCTCTCTGGTTGTCCATATATATATATATATATATATTAGCAAAGTGATGTCAGAAAATATGAATATAAACGCGTTAAGAAGGACATTTCATCTCCGGCTAACATAAACATCATAATATGACATATAATCCGTTAATCAATATTCTGTCATTTAGTCCTTACTCCTCAGCTAGCTCGCGAGAACCCGCAGGGGTAAGGATAGCACTGAGTGTTAGGGCGGAAAAATCACTTCTTGACTGGATTCCAGTAGATAGTCGTATGTGTGCGGTCCGTCTGAATGGGTCCGTTAAAAGAAGGAAAGACGGTGCAACCCGTCGTTACCTTTTCGTAGTCTCCGCCTACGATAATTATAATAGCTTTACTACAAAACAGTACTTGTGATACAGAATAGAATTCTCAGCAATTTACTACAGTATTGCATCCAGTTAGTACATTAACAATAAAATAAAATTCTACATAGATTAAGGAAATCTCAGTTCATTATGGCAACAACATATTGGCATGTCAGTAGCAAAGCCAAAATTGAACAGAGTGTTTTAAGGTGTTAGAAAAGTAGCTGCTAGAATATTTACTGGGGTGAGCAGAAGAAAGAAACAAAGCTGCACATAACAACAACAAAATGAGAGAGAGAAAGGAAAAGAAGAAAGAAAACGTAACTGTAAATGATATGAGTTGGAAAGACGAGATCCAGGTGTTCTTCTACTGACTATTTATTAATTCATAAGTTTCACGCCTAATGATTTTTTATCACACAGAATACGAGCTAAGTAGGGTATGGTTGAGTTTTTGTACTTACTAGTGCGAGCGTATAGTTGCCTATATAGGCTTCTGGATTTGCCTGAAGAGATACAAGAAGAGAATTGTGAATGAAGAGAGTGGTGTGAGTTAGATAAAATGCATTTTGCCCATTTTTCACATGAGTCCATGTGCGTGTCAATCAGAATATTAACAAGCTGGTTAAGTGGCACGTAGCTTACCCTGCTGACAACCTGTAACATCCTGCGTAATAAGGTAGAGTCTTTCTTCAGTAACCCAGGAAAAATTAAGGGGGAGCAATAGAGAATAATAGACAGAATGCGAGAGTTAACAAACTGTAGGAGTAAGGGTCGAGTTATACCAGAATACCTTAACTTCTTGATGTAGAAAATAAGACGGAATATTTTCTAAGAAATCGTCAAGATATGAGACGACCAGGAAAGATCAGCCGATAGAATGACGCCTAGGTATTTAATTTCCGACTTGGTTTCTATTTCAGTGCCATCAATCTATGATGCACACCTCATGAGTGCTAACCAGATTGTTTCGGTGAGATTTATGCCTAAAGGTGAAATTGACTGTTTGGTATTTTGAGGGATTTAAGGTTAGACCGTTTACCTTGGACCATTGCCTGATTTGTAATGAAAAGCCATTTAGTTTAGAGCAGTCACTTTGACATTTGACAGGTAAAGATACAGTCAGGTCGTCAGCATATTTGACAAAATTAATGTCATTTGAAGATGGTAGGTCATGTAGAAAGAAAGAAAAGAGAAGTGGGGAGAGTACAGCACCTAGGGGGACACCAGCTTCAGTGGACACAACAGAGGAGGATTTGCCTTTGTTTACGGTATACTGCATTCTGTTAGAGAAGTAGGATTGCAACCAGTTAGTGATCCAGAACTCAGTTTGTGTCATACAGAGCTTATTTGACAAGAGACGTCTAGGTACAGAGTCGAAAGCAAAAGTGAAGTCGAGAAACGTGCAGCGGACGTATTTCGCACCTTTATCTAATGATGAAACGATACTGTTGTATAAGACGGCTGAAGCGTCTAAAGTGCTCCTCCCCTGTCTATAGGCAAATTGTTTGGGGTCTTCAAAGCCCTTAAGTGAGGGTTCGAGTTTAGGAAGTACTAGTTTTTCCATAAGCTTTAGAAACGGGGAAGTGATGGCAATGGGTCTGAACTTTACGTTCTTGCTATTGCCAGGTTTAGGGACAGGGACTATTTTAATGTCTTTCCATGGAACAGGTACAACGTTTTCGGAGAAAGAAGCATTTAGGATGTTAGTTAGAGGAGAACATAAAGCATCTGCGCATTGTTTTTAGAACGCTCCAATAGACTACAGTCCGGATGAACTTAGGGATGATTTCTACCTGAAACTGTCTAGCTTGCTGCAAAAAGCAAAACGTTCAGATATAGTTGTTTTAGCAGGCAACTTTAATGCCGAAGTAGGGAAGTTGTGCCAGACTGAGAAGTATGTAGGTGGTACGTGTGGAGTTCCCTGCCGACGAACCGACAACAGTGATCGTCTTCTACAGTTTTTCTCAGATAATCATCTGTTCCTAGTCAGCACTAGCCTTAGGCACAAAGAGAGACATTATGTAACCTGGTGACCCCCATCACGAAATCAACACTGGACTCAGATAGACCACATAGCCATAGGGTATCGTTGGCGAGGGTCAGTAGAAGACTGCCGCTCCTTCTGGAACACGTGCGTAGATTCTGATCACGCTCTGGTTCGCGCACGTTTATGCTTACGACTAAACGAACATAAATTAACGGCAGCGAAACAGTTAGGGTTCAGACCGGGAAGAGGGTGTATTGATCATGTTATTCATATCTTAACCCTTCGACAGATTCTAGAGCATAGGCATTCTTACCGGCGGCGTCCAACAATCGTTGTATTTCTTGACCTAAAGGCGGAATTTGATTTTGTGGAGTGAGAGGTATTTTGGCGTTGCTTTGCTGTAAAGGGAATGCCGAGAAAATACATTGCACTGATCAAGGCACTCTACTCGTACTCATACAGCCAGGTGAGGGCTTACGGCGAGTTTTCATCTGAACTGGTGACGACTAGTGGTGTCCGTCAATGATGCCCATTATCCCCATTTCTATTCAACTTCATCATAGATCTACCAATTCAATTAAACCTAAGTGACATCAGCGACTCAGGGATTGACTTGCTACCACGGAATAATCTCGTTGACTTAGAATATGCAGACGATATAGTCCTACTAGGCGAGGACGCTGACAAAATGCAGAGTCTTCTGAACTCCTTGAGCTGTAGTCTTCGAATGTTTGGCATGCGATTCGCTCCCGCCAAATGTAAGATGATGTGACAGGACTGACTGGACTACGCTAACTCCCAGATCAATTATTTCGCAAGCACCATCAGCCAACGCCAACTGGTTGATCGCTGACGAGATCTCATCACGGATACAGAGGGTTAGTTTCGCATATACCAGTTTACGCCCTCACTGGCGTAGACGTGATATCCGGCTATCGACCAAAGGTTGGGTATACTGCTCAGTAGTCCGCTCCGTCCTCCTTTATGACTGGCTGTGAGACCTGGCCATTGAGAGTGGAAGACATGAAAAGCCTAGCTAGTTGTCTTCGATTATAGGTGCCTGCGCTCTATCTCCCGTGTGAAGTGGTATAATAAGGTGAGCAATATTGAGGTTAGGCGTCGGTCGAGTGCTAGGTAAGGAGGGAGGGGAAATCAATCGACGAGGCTGTGAAGCTACATCGACT